AAATTTGAGAAAGAATTATGAGATTTCATTTTTACAAATGCATATGGGAGTGAGTTTTAAGACATAAAATCTCTGTATGTTCTCTGACCCATTCTGGGTGGCCCATTGTGCAAAGTTGTATTTAAGTAATATATGGGCAGTAAAGACCCAATAGAGTTGACAGCCTAGAGTGCAAAGAAGAGAAATGGACAGTTCCATTATGCACTATTCTAAGCACCACCTAATCCTTGCTTATTCACATTAACAGATGAAGCTGACCAATTGTGTGAAATTTATGTTTGTCTGACCTTCTGGGAGAAGGGTCTTCTAAAAGAGCAGATAGGAGCAGGTCTGATCTCTCTGTGTAGCTCTTGGGAAGGCCGGGTTAGAGTTGCATCTCTTGATTTGCCTGCTGTACACACTCAGTGCCCGTGGGGCAACAAAAGTCGGGGCAACCAGTGTAAAGAGATAGTCTTAATGGGCCATATTCAGAGGTGACTTGTGACTTTTTTGTCCACATTGTCCCCATCCCCTATTCCAGGGGACAGATCGAGACTGCTTTCTTACTTGGTCAAAACTTTCTTTCCTCATATTGTGGAATCCTTCCTCAGCCTTTCACTTTTCCATTTTCGTTTAATGACTTAATGGAAGGCATTAAATTAGCTTTCTTTTCCTGTTATTCCTCCTCCTGGCCCTTTTCACACCCTTCCGTGACAGCATACTCACTTATTTCCCACTTGGGGAGCCAGAGAGCATCCCTACCAACACAGTCCCTTAGCTTACATCATAAACTATGAGATGCAGAAAAATCTGGTGAAGAATTGAAGAGGGACAGAGGAGTAGAAGAAAAAAAAAAAAGAGGCAGAAATCATCCTTCATTTTCTACTTAAAGGTTCAGTAAAGTGTGAGTCCTGTTTCATTAGCGTTTACACAGGAAAAGCAATACTTTTTTTTTTCTCAGAAGTTTATTGAATAACCTTTCCCCAACTTAACTATGTAAAAAGATTTTCCCTATAAGAATTATGAAAAAAAAGTAATAAAATTAATTGCCTGACCTCAAATGGAAAGGAAAAAAAATTATAGAAATTTGTTTTCTTTCAGAGAGGATTATATAATTTAGGATTCGCAAATCAAAAGATGTGACTAACAACATGAGAATTAAAAATAAAAAATGTGAAGGTTTTAAGTTTCATTTTATTTGCCTTCTGATTCTTAAAACTCAATCTTTTACTTTCCTTTGTCTGCCACTACAAATCACAGAATGCCTTAGATAGAAATGAGCATTATCTTCTCAAATATTTACATAGTTTAGAAGCCTTTTATTCCAAGATGACAAGAGACTGTAAATTAAATTAAAAAATCACATGTTGCTTAAGAGAATAATCAAAAATACCTTAATTTAAAAATATGGAGAAAATGGAGGGAGAAAAAAAAATCGAGGAGAAGCAAAGTTGTAGTAACAGCACTGAGTCTGTTAAAGTTCAAAATATACTCAGTAGTTCACACGAGCAGTCAAAAACTTGATCAGTACATGCCTGAACTCCCAGACATGCTCACTTCTTGCTTCATATTGTAAACAGCCTTAGATTAACTTGGAGTTATCAATCTATTGCATATCCATAATGACCCTGAAGAAAGGATGTGGTGTTATCATCAGTCAGATAAAGTCGCCAGAACTAAAACATATAATTGTCCCCAGGTCTTTGCAGAAAGCACAGCATAGTCATCTAGTTTGCATATCACATTCAACTTTTTTGTGAATGGTAAATGCAAAGCTTTCATGTATGAACTCATTGCCTTTTGGAATGCTTTCATTTTTTTGTTAATAATCATGGAAATATTATGAGTTTGACATGTATATTACTATTATATTTGAACTTCTGTTATGTGGAAACTTAAAAAGGTATATAGTATTTGTTTTAAACAGAACAAGATAGTCTGATCTAGGCTTGGCTTGGTGGAATCAGTTTATAACCATATCATAAGAACCTAAAAACAGAATTGAAATTTCCTGACAAAGCCATAACCTCTCATACACTAGAAATACTGCTATTAGACCAAAGTAAAACTATGGAAATCCCCCCCAAACAGTAAAGCTGTAAAAAACAGTGCCTTATTTTTACCTTTTAAGGAGTTGCTTTCAGCTTCCATGAGCTGAACAGCGTGTCTTACAAAAATGCCTGAGCTGTTCATTAGGTGACTAGGCTTGTTCGTGTTCTCCCTCCAGTACCTAAAAGAGCACTGGACCTTGTTGGCATACCGAGTCCATAGTGCCACCACACAGAATTTGAGGGGGAAATAAGAAGTTCTTGATTTGGTAGGTAATTTTTTCACTGCTTCTTGAAATTTTTTTGTAAGTTCATAACAAAATAACAAAAAACATGCAAAACCACCACCCCCAAAACACCTCAACCCAACCCAAACCAAATCCGAAACAAACGAAAAACGCCAAACAAAACATACAACTCTCTCCCCCAAATAGAAACCAAACCAAACCAACCAACAAAAAACCCCCCAAACAACCCAAAACCAACAACAAAACCCCGTAACAAAAAAAAATCCAAATACAAAACTCTAAGGATGAAGTTTGAAGGGAAAGGTTTTGTAGAGCATAGAAAGCCATGATAGATTTGGAAGCCATGACAGCTCTTAATTTAGCAAAAAGTTTTCATTGGCTAATAATTCATTTTATGTCTTTTGAGAAAGGTTTCTTCCCACAAGTTGTTTGTAGAGCTCCTAATTTTCTGCCCATTTATTCCGTCAGCAGATTATCGTGGAAAGTTATGCAGCTGGAAACACAGGGTATCTTTTGATGCAAACAGTGAAAAGTTTGAACCCTTATAACAAATGTAACAACGTTTTAAGTATGCTTAGTTTTTACAGTAGAGACTACAAAACACTTCTACAAATGAGAGACAGCAGAAAGAAAAAGCAATACTTTCTGAGAGGCAAAATAAGGATTTAATTTTCATTTGCTTCTCATGTTCCACACACCACAGTCCTAAAGCTTTGAACTATGATGGACAGTGTTATCATTGTTGACTTCTACTTAATAGTAACCCTTCAATTAAATACCACAAACAATTTCTTTCAAAAATGGATAAAAATCTGAGTCTTAAGGAGATAAATATTAGTAAAGCATAAACAATCCTGATTCAACAGTTGACTTCAACTCTGCGTTAATGTCATCAGAATAAAGCTACCGTGAGAAATATAGACATATGAAAAGAATATTTCACCAAACTATAGGTTTCTACAGGAAAATAATGCGAAACTAGAAACACAATCCAATATAAAATGCTATTTCTAAGCACGTTTCTTTTTTATCCCTCTATATTAGCATTAAAATTCCCCAATTTTGTATCTCAAAGATGAGTTGCAAAACTGTCTTTGGTTTGTGAAATTGTTAGTCACCTTTTTTCAGTCATTGGTCCCTTGTTCCTCCCCCTTCTTTTTTTTTTTTTTACAGAATGTGATTTGGTAAAAATATTTTTAAAAAAATCAATACCTCAAATCTCTAGTTTTGAATTCAGTAGACAATTCACTTGCAGAACTAAGTGGTCAATAAAACATACTTTTCCTGTTACAAAAATAATTCCATTGAAAATATTTGTTTTGAAAACAGGCAGAGCACAATGAGAGTGCAGCTGTGATGATATAGATATAGATATAGATATAGATAGATATAGATAGATATAGATATAGATATAGATATAGATATATAGATATAGATATAGATATAGATAGATACAGATATAGATAGATGTAGTAGATTTAGATAGATATAGATATAGATATAGATATAGATATAGATATAGATATAGA